AGAGAGAGAGAGAGAGAGAGAGAGAGAGAGAGAGAATAGGTTTGAGTTTATTTGAGTGTTTTTATTATAAATTAACTCAAAATACTTCACATAAAAATGTTTTCTCTTTTCTTTCACTTCAACTCATAATTCGTATTATATTTTGACAGAAATATTCACTGTTTATGCGATGAGTTGTGCAGAAAAGTGCCATTTCTGGCGCACAATTCCTGCATTACAATAAAGTCATATAAAATATAATACAATATTGTTTTTAAACATATAAATTTAAAACTTATAATTTTTAATTTAATTAAACTAAAAACACTTAAAGTATTTTCCCATAGCATGTGGAATTTAGTTTACCGTGGTTTTATGACAAAATAAAAGTGCATTAAAACTTTATAAATAGCACATTAGATAAATATACTGTACGTATATTTTTTAAACAATACAATAGCTGTTTATTTACACGATTTAAAGTTTAAACTATTGTAAATACAATAGTGTATCAATCATATGAATAGATGTAATCAAGATGATATATAACTATTGATATGTATCGGTATTATCTAAAATCTTTTGAGTGAAATGTCTATAAAACTAAGTATTTTATCAAATTTTAAGCATTAGATAGAAAGTGATTTCAACGATAAAAACTAGTGAATAGTTTAGAGAAAGAAATAATAAATAAGAAAAAGTATAGGTTTAATACAATATAATAACTTTCAATAGAAATGGCTTTAGATTCCGTGATTTCAGCTGATTTTGTCACTTATGGTTCAAAAATATTTATTATGAGACCGAATATAATAAAACTATGAGTTAAGGATATTTTTAGCAACTTTAACACTGAAATCCAACTCTAAATGAATCTCTCTCTCTCTCTCTCTCTCTCTCTCTCTCTCTCTGTTTGAATAACTGATAACTCGGTCGACAACTGATGTTAGAGTTATGATGGAGTAGTTATTCAGTGAATCTAAATACTAGTAAAATATGCGTTCACTAAATAATAGTCAGACAAACATTGCGATCAACTTCTCATACAAGACGTCAAACAATTGCAAAAATAAATGGAGAGAAGAAAGTAATGAGTGATGTATTTCATGAACTCGTATGAGAAATACAGCACTGAAAAGAAATGCAAAGCCTTTTTCCTAAAGACCGAGTCTTTTAATATTTACCAACAAAACAATCTATGTTTGCGTTACTTAACGAACGAACCATCTGTTAGTACACTATTGTATAGCCATCGGTGACCAATAATTATGCCCAATATATCGGCAAAAGCATCCATCGTTAATATCTAACATTTGTATAGAGGTTTTGCACAAAGATAGTCATATTCTACATTAATATTCTACTGTATATTGGAGACTAACAACATTATAAGTATGCAAATTTAAACTATCGAGTTTATATCCAGTAAGCGATAGTAAATCACAGATTAATATGAGATAAAAATAAGCCTAAAGTTCTAACGATAAAAATTTTTAAAAACTTGAAAACTGTTGACAATCTGACGAATTTAAAAGCAATTTTCTATAATGTATACATTCAGGCAAATAAATTTTAGAGTGGCATATAATAGCATACAATATGCAAATATCAACAACACTATAGTTATCTAATATAATATAACTTATTTAGAAAGTAGTCATACCTTTGAACGAGACGTTGAGTAAATAATTTTTATAAAAGCTCTGGCCGTCCAACTCTTTGAGCGCCGGGCAGTAGTTCTCAGTTCCGGAGCAGATGTCGAGCCACGCGTTATGCAAGGCGTGTGCGAACGCATAGACGGCGTCGACAACGAACTGCACTTTCGACTCTTGACGATAACCCATAGACTTATCAATCCTTAAATTCGGCGAACAGAGAGGGAGTGTATTATTGTTGTCCGCGTTTTCATTGTACGGGTGTTTGGAGAGACGACAGGCGAAGGTGTCCTCCCAGTACTCGCGGAACCAGGGATTGCGGTTCGTCTCCACCGACAGATTGCCGATATAATAGTCAAACTCCTCGATCTCGCGGGACTGTAGCTCAACAGTGATGGTTCCCTCGGCCTCCTCTTCCACGCCCTCCACGAGCTTCTCCTGAGTTCCCCACCCGTCGGACGCGATGAACGAGAAGTAATTGGTCTGATTGGCCGCTTTGGCCGCCTCTAGAAGGCCGCGATTGTCTTCGGCCCGAAGAAACAGTACCACACCTTTGGCGTTGGGTTTGGCCTTCAGATTCGTGAGGATTGCGCTGAAGTACCCGCTGTCGGCGTTTTGCGGCACCTTTTCGTTCATTGCGATACAAATGTTACGCTTCTTCGCCTCCTTCGCGAAGGCATTCATCCCGGAGTCTCCGTACTGGCCCTCAGACGTGACTAAACTCACATACGACCAGTTGAACGACTGGACGAGATCTACCAAAGCCAGCGCCTGGTATGTGTCGGGCGGAACCGTTCGGGCGAAGAAGTCGTACCGAGTCTTGTCGCTGAGCGATGTGCCCGTCGACGCATAGCTCACCTATAGGTGCGATACAATTGGCATTGTTTTAAAGCATGTTTTCAGCGTTTAATTTGCATAACATTTAATTAATCGATTGGAAATGATTTGCTTTGAATTGTATGTTCGGGTTTGAGAGCCAATAGTTTGCGACAAATACTTAATGTAATTAAATGGCACTCGAGTTAAGTCGTGAGACATTATTCCGCTACTAATCCAATCCAACCATTAATTTATAATGAATTTATTTTGTATTGCCTTTGCTTTAAATATTTAACAAAAATTTCTAATTATTCTTGCATTTAGTCTTATTTTACATCTAATTTATTATTGAATTTGTTATACAACTATAAAAAAACTAAGAATCAATTTTTGTTGTTAATTGTCTTAATGTCTTATGTTTTTACTATATTTTTGTCCATTGAATCAATTGACAGAACATTGCGTTAATTTGATTAATGTTTTTCATTTAATATGAGTTAACATCTCTTATAAATAGCTTAATAATGGCACATATGAAGCAATTTATATGTATAATACAAGCGGTTATAATCGTCGAAAACAACATCAATTGACTTATAGACGTCTCGCAAAACATTATATTTTTCTGTTTAAATGCTATCAACAACTGAGAAATACTTTGATTTATTATACATCTAATTAGGAATTGTAATTCAATGGACAAAAATATAGTAAAAACATAAGACATTAAGACAATTAACAACAAAAATTGATTCTTAGTTTTTTTATAGTTGTATAATACTATTAATTATGGATTCAATCGATTGAATGCAATAATTAGTATTTCTCTCTCTCTCTCAAATCAATTAATAATAAAATCTCACATATATTTTAATTTAATTTTTAAAACGCTTTCAGTTTAAATAATAGCAATTATGCTTAACTATAACTAATAGCTAATAACTAGCTATTTATAAATATACTATACTATAAAATGATTTAGTTGTATAATTATATCTAATATACATTAAAATCTTATTCATAACTCATCTGACAAATTATTCACTACATTAATTTAAATTAGATTTGAGAAATAAGTAATTTTTTAATTGTGTACAACAAATATTTCGCAAAATGTCAATCTTATAAACGAGATTTAAGGTATAAATTATACCGTATAATGAATAGTGTGTTAATGACAGACGTTTTTACGGTATAATAAAAATCAATGCAATCTAAAGAATCGTTGAAAGGATGCCATTCTTGTAATTATTTATTTTATAGCAAAGAGTTAAACAAACATACAATCAGTTTTGAATGCAAAAAGTAATTAATGTTTTCAATAAACGAAAGTAAAGCTCAATCCAATATAACCTAATTATTAAAAAGGTCATTTTGCTCACAAAAAAAACTCGATAACATCCAGAATATACCTAGTTCATCCGTAAATTAGATTTATAAATTCAATATAAAATAATCAAGCACATTTGATATACTCTAACGATTTTTGCTAGATCAATAATCTAGAAATAATTGATATTAAATTAAAAATCAATGAATGAAGTGTTTGAATGACAGAATATACTGTAGTTTTGACGAAAACGTGTGTTCATCTCATGACAAACATATGTCCAGTTTATTAATAAGTAAACTCTCATTAAGTTATTGATTGAAACAAAACTATAATTAATAAACCATTGGATGAGTGAGTAGTTTATTAAATGTTTGGAGAGAGAGAGGAAGAATTTTGCCTCAAATTATCGGCAAATTATTTAACAGTTTTGTTGAACTGAAAAACAGTCGTGAAATCTGAGAATAATGAAAACAATCAATGGTTTGGACATAAATCTTCTTGAAGTCCAATATTGTGTAACATTGGGAGAGAGAGAGAGAACCGTATCGGTCGGACATTTGCTTTGCAATTAACTGCCAAATCGATAGAAAACAATTTAATAGTATTGTATTTCTCGTTCACTGTATTGAATGAACACCAAAACAAAGCACACATGAGTTTATTCTCGCAAAGAATATTCTGTCGGATAATTGCTTTAATAATTGGCAAAAAGTGTTTACTTAATAATTAATTCACAAAATACTTGACACAAACTGGTCAATGAATAATAAATATGTCAAAATATATTTACTATAACCATAACCGGGGCTATAAATATAACCGTTATGTTTTAGTTGCTAGTTTTGCTTGCGGTGTTTGCTATCAATAATTCAATTTTATAGCCTAACGTGTTTTGTATTATACTTTTCTCAATAATCTTCGCTCTGTATTATTCACAGAAATGGCAATTTTAAGCCAAACAAATGTTAAGCTCAAAGACTTTTGAACATGAAATGCATTAACAGTTTTTTTTGTGTTTGCGTTTCTGACCATTGATTTAATGGTCATTAAAAGGCCTGCGATTCTTAGCGCCCAAAAACTTCACTGCAATTCTCTATCGCTATCTCTGAGCTTAAGAATTGCCGTAAAACACGGATTAAATATTTATAGTAAATATGTGCCAAAAACTAATTGTAATTATAAATTAATGGCTTATTATTAAATATTCACTGATTTATGATTATACGCCTCTCAATGGCAATGATCTGCGGCTTTGATTTTACTATTCGTTAAATATTCACACATTAATTATTGATTTTATCGATTATATGACACTCTTTTTTTTCAGGTGCTTTCATTTGTATAAAATATTTATAATTTAATAATAAAATATAATAATTAGTATTAAATAATTCTGGAAACTATAAGTTTTAGGCCATAATATGGTATAATAATTACATCGTTTCCTATGAAATGTAACGAATAATAATTTGCTAATGAATTCAACGGATGGAAGAATATATCGTTAAAGAGTATTAAAATCTGAGTACAAATCTAATGCGATTACCAGTGACTACGATATGATCTCATATTTTGCATTCAGTGGTATAATGCTCTCTCTCTCTCTCTCTCTCTCTCTCTCTCTCTCTCTCTCTCATGTATTGGATTTATTGTCATTAACGACCGCACAATCGGTTGTCTACTCGACGGTGCACTGAATGAACACTGGATTTGAATTATATTTATCTCCTTAACTATCCATTGAATTCGTTTATTTCTAGTGTTTATAAACACAGAATTCATTGCATAGATATATCAGTCGTTGTGTTTGCAGTAATTGATACGATTGTGTGCGAGTCGTGTGAGCCCTCCATCAGAATCACTAAACGCAACGAAAGTGCAATTTTTAAGCCAAAAGAAAAATTTTATTTATTTAAAAGATCTATTCATTCAGTGATGGGAAGCCGTTATACCCAATAGTGTCAGTATTTGGGTCTCTCTTTCACTCGTTATGCCATTGAATTAATTAAAGCTGTTTTTTGTGAGTGTAGTGTAATTCTCATGATTTTGTTGGTATAATATTTGTCAAATAAATTAAAGGTCTTTAACAATAGCCAGTATTAACGTCATTAAACTTAATTGAATGTTATTCGCTATTTGTTAAGTCCATAACAAAGAACTAACAAAATAATTCTTGACTTTTCATTTGAGCTAAACATTGAGTTTTCTCCGAAATAATACATCTCTCTNCGTTACGGATAATATAGTCTATATATAGAGACAAATCGATGGATTATTTTAAGCATAGATTCCGGGGATGTGTATAACAATCATGCTTTTGAGGATCAAAACAACTAACAATACGCGCATAAATAAAATATATTCTCTCGATATATCGGCTCTTATAGGATTATTATTATTACAGTATTGAATTAAATATATCTATATTTCCCACTCACTCAGTCTCTCCCTCCCTATCCCTCCTAGTATTTAGCGAAATGTAAGACTCTGTTCACTGTATAAGAGATTATTTTTTTATCATTTGTGGCCAAAATTGGTTTTCAAATAAATAACTTCAATGAATGGGAATATAACTCAATTCAATATAAATAAGGCTGTATTCAAAAGGATTGACAACAAAAAATCCGTCATAAATGGATGAAAACTGTTGTATATAAACATCTTATACCTGTATTTTCCTTTCAATAGACACAACAAAAAGTTACTCTCAAAATATTTTTATTATTATTGTTATTATTTTAATAACAAAATCATCTCTTCTTTAGCCAGAAGTTGTAAACAGAAATTATACGTATATTTATTATTACTGTAAATATTATTGATATTTATTGAAAAATAATATTTTTACTTCAAATGAAAACCATAAATACATTTCCTATTTAATACTAACCGCAAAGGACTTAACAACCGATTAAAGGCTCTAAAAAACCCGAACATAAAGTCTCAATAATCATATAAAAATTGTTGGAAATAATAATAACAATAATAATCATAATATAAAATACCAAACTATATATTAATGTCTAATAATAAATTATGATTAACAAAATGTATAATAAAATAATTTAATACCTGAGGTATTTTGAAAAGTCGAAGCAAATTTGCCACTTGTAATGAGACCTGAAAATGTTTAGATTAAATTTTATATCGCTTTAATTTTATGCATTGCTTTCACATCGGATTTAACATAGTTTAAGGTTTTATATACGAAATTGATTAACTCATGCAAATTAAATCACTCAATACGCTTTCATATCAATCGCAAAACAAGTCATTAATGTATAAAACAAAATAAAAAAATAAGTTTTTGATAAAAATAACATTTTCTGCATAAATATATTCGTGTAATTTAAGGCATTACTCTTCGTTACGGATAATATAGTCTATATATAGAGACAAATCGATGGATTATTTTAAGCATAGATTCCGGGGATGTGTATAACAATCATGCTTTTGAGGATCAAAACAACTAACAATACGCGCATAAATAAAATATATTTTCTCAATTAAATTATATATACTTTTAAAAAACATTTACAATAACTCTCGGGGAGTATTGAAATGATAGCAATGGCTTATGGCATGAAGTTTATATGCTTTTTGAATGCCTATAGAAAACACTCACTAATATTAAGACAATAATATGTCGAAACATACTTTTATATCACATAATAAAAGATAATTTATTATTAAATAGAGAACGGAATATATGGAGAGGAAAATGAAAATAGAGGTTTAGGTTAGGAATTGAGAGCAAATGATGAGACATATCACTAAAATGCGAGCCTATTGTGCATAAGAAATGACAAATCAATTGACGCCAACACCTAATACTATAGCATACGTGCAATACCTCGCTATAGGAGCCGCCGACGACACCACTAATGTGTTTGGAGCCGTATTTCGGTCGAGGGGTTGAGCCGTCCCGACACTCAAAGGCGGACGACTCGACTGTATTAATGGAGGCGCGGATGAACTCCAGGGACTGATTGAGCGCATACGAGTCACTGGAGCACGTGTCCAATATGATGGCTCCCAACTTGATCTTTCCCAACAGGTTTGGATCCTGATTGATCTTATCGATGGCAAACAGCATCGCTTCCAGCCGTTGAATACCCCTGTCTTTGTTGATCGGACCGCAACGCGTGCTGTTCACACCTGTCGGACACCACAATCACGTGCGTTAATATCGGGTAATGTTTATATCAAGTTTTAAAGTGTATTCATATATTGCATACTTTACTATGAATTGTATAAAAAATGCATTATAAAGTATGTTTTATAAACTTTATTTTATAATGTATGTAATAATAATGATTTCAATATGAAATATGTTATTGCAGAATAAATGCAAAATAACAACTCATTAAATATTGTAATTTATACGTTATTTCAATCTTAAATATTCAATGTTCTCATAACTTACTGTAGTCTCTCTCTCTCTCTCTCTCTCTCTCTCTCTCTCTAAATATAGGACAACTAAACGTTGAATATTTATATAATATTTATTTTATATTTAAAATCGATTTTTCTTTCACATTCAAAGCATCTCAAGTGAATTAAATATTTAATTCCTTTGAGCCATTGCTTTGAGTCGAGAAAATACTATACAGTATTATTGAGATATAAAAGCGAGGCAACAAAAAAAATTGCTGAAAATAAGTTTTTATCGTTTAAACTGAGCCCTGAATATATCCCATAAACATAAATATAAAACATAAAGCATATAAATTAAATTCTTTGAGTCTAATTATTACGCTAAACAGCAAATACTGCATACAGAATATGCATATTATGTACAGTATATTAAATATCATATTATATAAAGAATAAAATAAAACTTTAAACTTTATATATATTTATACAAAACAAAGTCTGGCAAAGATTTTTAAACCCATATTTACAAAAATCAACGCAAAAATTATAATATTGTGCACCAAAAATGTTTGCATAGATTTATTGTGTTTGTTGTATAGAAAATGCGAAGAAAAACACAAACAATAATTCATACCTTTTTGATGAATAGGAAAGAGTCCGCCCAACAGTATATCACCGGATTCGGTGACTTTGTGTGTGTAAATCAATGAAAACGAAATCAATGTAATGAATAGGAAACACGTGAATCTGACTATAATTTGCATATTAAACAAATTAAATTCTTTAAAGTTTCGCTGATTTCTGGCACAAACGGAGCCCTTATGTAAACACAAATCAAATAAAACCAAACGATTCCGAGTTTTCATGGTTTCGATGGTCTCTTCGTGTGGTTTTTTAATGCCAAATATATGTGTTTTTGGCTTTTTTTTATCCCTTGCTTTCTATCCCTCCGTCTATTTATTTATTCACTCACTTTCTAATGATTGATGAAAAACAACCAAAAAATACTTGAGATGAAAGTCTTGTTGCAGTGAATTATAAATTTGCAAATAATAAGATTTGATGCTTTACTTTACAATTAGGTTTGATAAGCGATTTGAGAAATTTTATTTATTTGTTTGTTTGTTAGTTTCCGTCACAACCGAAGACATGAACTGATTTTTCCGATATATATTTGTTTAGTTTCTATCTCTCCTTTTAATTCCCTATTCCTTTCCAGAGCTTTGATTTTTGCAGTTTTTTAGTTGTATTTTATTTAATTTTTTCCACTTCTTCTTTAATCTACTTCTTTCTTTCTCTTCGTTTGTTTTTCGTCTTCGTTTCCAAACAATTGTTTTGTGTGTGTTTTGAATCACAATTTCATTTTGTCCGCCGTTTTAGCAATCATTGCCTCACTTTTCAATCAAAAGTTTGCTATAAATTCTATGGAAAAGTAAAATAAGAGGAAAAATACAATTAGTTTTGTTTCCCTTTCATTGAGAAAATTAGAAATAAAAATAATCTTTAAATATAAAAGAAATAAAACTAAAAATACATTTTAGTTTATGTGATATAATTTCAATTTTTTAGTAATTTTCTCTCTCGACATAAATGGTTTGTGTAATCAATGAAATCAACAAAAGATTTGCAAAATTTTCTTCCCATGAATTAAGCCAATAATTATGGTATGCATAAAAAATTACATCAAAAAGCAAACAATTTTCTCTACAAAAATTAATTAAGACTTAAAATAGATATTCAGTTGTATTTTCTAAAGGATTTTTGCATTTGTAAAAAACATTTGGATTTTCTTTCATAGGGAATGTATTATGAAATTCATTGCAAACACTATTATAGAGTTAAACGCAAAAATCGATAACAAAACTGAAATAATAGACAAATTATTATTGGAGTCCTTAATAATTGTTATGAGAGTTTGGATTCAGTTATAAAAACTCGTTATACTATACAACAAACAATACAATAATTACAGACAAAATAATACATTAAATAATATGTGACTCCAAACACATTATTAGGGATGATGTTTGAGATCCTATTGTCCTCATATCGTGGATATATGTTTTGAGTATATCCTCGAAAAAAATCTTAGTTTTAAGAGATTTCTATGGATTCAAAAAATCAATTTACTTTCGCAGATATTTTTCATGCGATAGACTTTTTTTATATCACAAAAACTCTCTTTGATTATAATTTCTAATATTTAAAAATCCCCACAGAATATGAAGAGCTTATGTGTGGATACAATTCTCAATACATATTGTGTGTGGAAATTAGGCACAGAATTAAAGTGCTTTAATATATAGTTAGGATTTTTTGCCTGCATTTTGGTTGACACAAAAATATGTCGAAACGAAACGTTAAAACAAGTGCTGAAGAGTCAGCCGATGTGAACACACATTTTGATGGCGAATAAATAGTTTATACTTTGATTGATAGAAATAAATCCGATATGAAGTGAATTTAAAAGCAAACGACTATCATATGAAAAATTCACGATTCAATTATACACTGTATTTACACTAACAAGCGATTCGTGAATTGATGCAAATGTATGAAACAATAAACACAAATATTCAATGCATTCATAAACAGCACAAAATCGATTACTTTTGTGTTTTTTGTTTGATTTCAAGTCTTTTATATAAAATCATAAACTCTGGACAAATATTACGCTTAGTTTGTATTTTTTCAGTATTGAATTCAAGAATATTCTGTGTGTTAGAGTCTCCGCATATTCTGTTGCAAAGATAATACACTATTTTGTTTTTTATGTGTTTTTCCATTTTACTAAAAAATAGTTTTTTGTTTAGTTATTTTGAGTTGCATTTGACATCTTATTTGACTTATTTTTCTTTGCATTCAATCATAGAATTGATTAAAATTATTTCAAATACAAGACTCAATGCTTAAAACATAAGCCATTTTTCAAAGAAATCATAAATAAACCAAATGTTGAATTGATTTCAAATACAATGCCTTTATTTGTTTCTCAAACTGAATATATATTTTATATATTTATTATTGAATTGAAACTACATTTGAGTAATGGATTGAATAATTAATTGTTATTTATATATAAACTCGGTCTTGAAATGCGAGCATAAAAAATAATGTCTCAATCGGTATACGAATTGGCCGTCAATTATATATTGACGGCAAAAATCAAACAAAAATAAATGTTTGCTTTTGAGAAGTAGGGGTCAGACGAGGATATAAATGGTTGAGAATGAAAGCTATAATGGACTTCAAATGCGAGGCTCAAGAATAGACACCAATCTCTCTCTCTCTCTCTCTCTCTCTCTCTCTTCAGTTTTTTCTACTCAACGATTGTTTTTATATACGATTTTTACTGTTGTTTCGATGTATTTACACTCAATACAGACTGTATACTAAAATAGAGGAGAGAGAGAGAGACCAGAATATATTCCTCACAAATCAAAATGCAAACCATTATTTGCAATAATGCTAAAAGTATACGGAATACAATACAATAAATTCTCTCTCTCTCTCTCTCTCTCTCTCTCTCTCGTTTCTGTCTCGGAAACAAACATATGGTCTAGACTTTGGATTTCGTTTTTAAAACAAAATAAATCACAAGACAATGAAGAAGTGGACCTATTTTTTGCAGCAAAGTTTGTCAGAAAATTAATGTTTCGATTACTTTTTAGTTATGATTTATCCGTTAAAAACCAAAAGCAAATATTTTTCCCAAACTATCAAAACAACTGATAATATTTGTGTCAACAAAAATATACTCAAACACACGAAGATCTTTATGTTTATACGAAAATCATATCATATTTATAACCATTTCGTTTTAAGTCCATTATTTCTATTACACAAGAATTGTTTATTAGAATTATTATTGTTGAGTATATAAGTTATATAAATATATTTTACGGAATATATCTGGATGATTTATTATTATTTTTTCCATTTCCAGTACTACAAACAAATACTTTAAAGTCATTACTGAATAAGTTATAAGAATTGCAAAAAGATTTTATTCTTGAGCTAAAAATTCTTGAATAGGTCTTTCACTCATCGCTTTAATCATCACATTCTACATAATATATCATAAAGTTTTACTATTATTGTGAACACAATCACCACTTTTGTCGTAATGTTATCCCACTTTTGTAATTGAAAAATTTTCACCAAAACTCGCCTTTAATATGAGCTCAAAATTATATCTTCAAATTCATAATTAGATTTAAAGTCTATATTTAAAATCACTGAAACAATAAACAATGAAAATAAAACACTTATACATAGAAATACAGAGAGAATTGTGTTGAATTCGTTGATAACCCGGATTTGAATTAAATCTAATTATAAAGTGTAAGATAACGTCTAATTATTGTGTTTTCAAAGTAATCTCATGTAAATGAAAAGGACTTAAAATCGCTGTCAACCCTCCAAACAGATCTCTTGTATTGACCGGATTTGCACAGCAAAGCACTCGTAATGTTTGCTTCAATTCTCATATTTTAATATTTGTCCCCAAAATATGAATAATTTTGTAAAATTATTCAATGAATTTTCAAAATAAATATTTGCCATAAACTGAATGTTAAAATCTATTCTGAGAGAGAGAGAGAGAGAGAGAGAGAGAGAGAATTTATTGTATTGTATTCCGTATACTTTTAGCATTATTGCAAATAATGGTTTGCATTTTGATTTGTGCCGTTTTAACTAAAACCAGAAAATATCTAATTTATTAGATTAGGAAACTGTGTACACAATAAGAGCGCCTTTTAAATGAACAAAACAATAGACAATAAGTTAAATAAAACAGACATTCAATGCTGTCATCAATTTATTAATTTGATTTAAACGGAAAAATATTTTACGTGTTTTATTAAATACACTGTTTTCCCACTCAATAATAGCAAAAGCCATGAATTGACTAAAGAATCCAAGAATTGTTGACAAAACTGTCACAGAATTTGTTGAAACAAATTATTCCTGAAGTATTTTCGCTTACAATTTCTCAATTCTTTGTACGAATTAGTTGTCTATTTTAGTTGCTTTGAGAAAATGGTAAAAACACATATATTTTTCTATATCTAATATAAAAAAGCAAAAAATATGCATAAAATATAAAATTATCAGTAAAATTATATTCACTGAATAAACGGTTCATCTATTATGTACACTGAGCTTAATGTCTGACATTTGAAAGTTAATTAAAAGAAAATATTTTAATTAAAACACTGGGAAATCTATTCCCAAAAACGAAAAATATTTTTTAAATAAATTCATAAAAATTATTTAAAGTGAACGACTTTTTTAAACGCAACCATTAATTATTCTCAAATTGAGAAAATACCGCAAAATATTCAAAAATTTGGTAAAATTTAAATTTATTTTATTGAAAGACTATTATAATCAGCGGAGAGAATAAAAACACGAACAAAATGTTCAAACAGTTAATGCATTTTTTACAAGAATTTCAACCAAAAGGCCATAACGTTATAAATATTTATGGTTTTGCAAAAGCAAAACTTTTCAATACTCTTAATGTCTAAACTCATTGAATACATGTCACGACGATTAATGATTTGGAAACAAAATAAGAATATAAATAGTTATCCGGACGATGAAGAAGAAAGAAGAAGATGAAAAATTCTCAAAAATTGTTTATTTATAATCCATATATCGATCTCATAACGAAAACTTTAGGCCTTCTCTCAGATTATAATGAATTAATTCTTGAAAATATTTTTTTAAAACACTAGTATTC